CCGAGCTGGTTAAAGGTTTTAATGGCTATTATAATAATGGAGAAATTGGAGAAATATTTTGGGAAGACTGGAAGGTTATGTAAGGGTGGGTATTGGTGGGGCTAATGTAACTCAAACTTCCTGAGAAAGAAGCTGCTCCCTGAAGAAGTTCCTCCATGGAAACCTTTACCGACATTTATATCTTCATTCAGTTTCACCCTCCTTTGTCTTTTCCCGGTGACTGAGACAGGGTAGTTGGCCTTTAAACTCATTCTCTAATCTTTCCTTAAAAAAGGAAGAAGGAAAGAGGGAAAAAAGGAAGAAATAAAGAAAAGAAAGAGAAAAACATACTTTTTCATGGGATTCAGTTGTTGGGACTCAGAACATGATACCCCAAAGAATGGCTCTCTGGCATGCTAAGTACTTGGCACTAGACGAGAAGCAGGTCTCTCGAACCTTCTCCCATTCCGCTATCATCTTCTGTCTTCGCCCTCTGAAGCGATTCATAGAAATCAGGATTTCTCTTGGCGAAGGTGGATCACAGAAATTAGATCCCCCAAACAAGCCACAAAACCTAGAAAAGTCGCGCGCTCTCTGCTTTGGTCCTGAGGACCCTCACTCCAGAGGGGTCTTGTCCCATACCCGGGAGGAAGGAACGCCGCGTGGAGGCCAAGAATCTGCACAGACAGGGCTTGCTGGATTCCTCCTCACTCTGTTTCCATCAGGTTCAGGTAGTACCCTATTGTCCAGTCATAGTTCTACATACTTTGATGAACCCAAACGTAATAACAGACACGTTTCAGCCAGACATGCTGAAACAGGAGCTACATGCCCCCAGCTACACAGGAGGCAGAGGCAGGAGGATTGCATGAGCCCAGGAGTTTGAAAACAGCCTGCGCAAAATAGCAAGACTGGTTAAAAAAAAAAAGTCTAGTTAATGTGGAAACCCTGGACAGCCTGATTTTCTTATCTACTAGGGATCTCAACATCCCCTCTCATGCTCATTGTTAAGAACAGTTCGGGTCTCTAGGAAACAAGAACTGCAACAGAGTAAACACGCAGACGGATAGAGCAAGGGGCCCGAGGCAGCTGGGTGCGGGCTGGCTGGGCCCGGCATTTCCGCGACGCCTCTGCGCTGAGTGTAGGAAGAACCGCAGGGGCAGCCGCGGTTGGAATTTTCCTTCGGAAAAGAAGTGACGGACACTCGGCCAAAGGATTGCTATTCCAGGGAGATGACAGTTGAGTGGATTAGGCGACTCCAGAGAGAGCTTTCTACTCTCGGATAAGCAGGATCAGCCCCGCACCTCCGCAGAGGAGGGGACGGCCGCTCGCAGGACCCCGCATTTCCCTCCCCCTGAGCCCTTCCCAAGAAGTCGTTTTACACCCACAACAAACAAGACCTTCCCGAGCGCCCGGGATACGTCAGTAGTTCGTTCCGCGGGGGAAGCCAATACTGACATTTGGCGGATGAGAACTCTGCTCCTGAAAGGACCTTTGCTGAGCGCCGCGGGAGGCGGGGCGCGGCCGCGGGAGGCCGCCCCGGCGGCCGCGGCCCGGGAGCTCCCGTTGGGCGGCGGAGGAGGTGGGGCGAGCGCCGCGCGCAGAAATAGCCCTCAGCTGGGCCGCGGCTCCGCGCCAGTTCCGCCCGCGGCCGGAGAGCTGAAGCGCGGCGCTCCTGCTGGGATCCTCGCTCCGGGAGGGCCTCCCTGGGTCACCCGCGGGGTTGTCGCAATCGCCGCCGGAGGAAATCGCGCACCGGCTGCGGCGCGCTCCGCCGGCGCCCCGGAGTCCCCTCGCTCACCCCGGCCGGTCCGGCGCTCGCCAGGTCTGCGCACGCCGCGGTGGGCTGAGCCCCGCCTGGGCCGCTAGCGGGGGGAAGAGTTCACAGGCCCGAGCGAGGAGGAGTCCAGGGAGGAAGGAAGGACGTTGCCGTAGTTCTGAAGTTTTTTTCCTTCCTCTCTTCTTTTCCCCGCAGAGGTGAGTGCTGGGCGGCGCCGGCGCTGACTCCACCCGGCCGGGCTCGGCGCTCTGCTCCGGGATCTCCGGCCGGACTGCCTGGGGACAGCGACGGCTGTCACGCTCCGGCCGCCACTGCGGACCTCTTCCGAGTGAGTGCGCCAAACCATGGAGGGCGCAGACCTGGCCGGGAAGATCCTTTCGACCTGGCTGACGCTGGTTCTCGGCCTCATCCTTCTGCCGTCGGCCCTCGGAGTGTCTCTGGGTATCTCGGAGATCTACATGAAGATCCTGGTGAAAACTTTGGAGGTGAGTGCCCGGGGGGATGCCGCGGCCACGCGTCTCTGCGCACCTCCGAGGGCTTTGGGGGAGAAATGGAAGGCGGTGAGCGCCGAGATTAGAGCTGTGAGAGTCTAGTTGATGCGAAGGGTCCAGCTCTCAAGGTCAGCGGTCGGGGGGCAGGTGTGTGTATATGTATTTCGGGTTCTTGTCCGCAACAGCAAGGAGATAAGCTTCTCAGTTTCTCGAGCGGAGCTGGAGGCATCCGAGCTGAGACCCCTGGACCACCCATGATTCCTCAGGCTGAAGGTGAAACCACTCCACCCTGTCTAGTGTCATCATTATTTTACTGATTAGAACATCAGTTCTACCGCTTTTGATAGCAATTTGTTTATGTCCGTTTTGCAGTGCAGCTGTCGCTTCACTCTCCTGAATTTTACAGCCCCAGGTGTCAGAGGTCCTTTCGTGCACCGAAAGGCATCGTATTCAACTTTATGCCCAAGATAAGAGACCACTTGCTGGATGGCAGAAAGAAAATTGATTTTTAGTGGAGTCATGGAAATTTTATCTAACTGACAGCACTGGAAATGCCAATCAAAAGGCACATTCTTTGACCTCAGATCTGCCTGTACTCCTATTTCCAAATTCTGCAAAGCAAAGTGTTAGATGGAGGTGGCCTAGCAGGACAACTGCAGGGTTTTTGGCAGGTGTCAAAAAGCCTTGTCAGGTAGGGAGGGCAGGTGCTATCCCTCTTTCACAGATGCAGAAACTGAAACTCAGAGAAGTTCTGTGATTTGAACTGAGCCTTGGAAACGGAGTCTGAACTGAGAAGGGGCTGGTGAGGAGTGCAGTGGTTAAGACTGCAGATTCTGGATGCAAGTTTGCTTAGATTTGGCATTAAAATCCCAGCTCTGTTCCTCCATATGTGACCTTACAGACTTCACCTAACTCTTGTGCCTCATTTTCCTCATCTGTAAAATAGGATAGGGAACAGTTCTTCTCTTAGGAAGAAGTTCAAATGAGTTAAATTGTATCAAGCACCTTAAGAAGGGTATCTGCAGGCAGTTAGGTGCAATAAAACTGCTGCTATTAAAAGAATAATATGATTACGTAGATGCCAGCATTCTGCAGTGCCTTCTACTCTGGCTTCCTATATTCTGTCTGCCCGCAGGACATGGCTTTTTCTGCTCATCTTCCTGAGCTAATGGGATGGCTCCAGGTATACTTGAGACATTGGCGTCTACATATTAACCTTCTGTTTTACCCCAGGTCCTTGCTGAACTTTTGTTTTTATGGCTGTGGCTCTGCCTTGTCTTCGAAGTTACTTTCGATTCTTCTCTCACTTTTCCAAGTTCTGTTGAGAGCTATTTCTTTTGAACTTTTCTTATTGAAAGTACATTCTGAGCCTGGTCATACTATGCTGTGAATTTCTTAGCTCCTTCCTAGTGTTAGGTCTTCTTCAAATATTCTCCCCATGGAGATGATCCTCTTCAGCCGGTGTTCCCTCTTTCTCAGAATTTGGAAATGATGGAACTGCTCTCCCTACACAGCAGCGTCTTCTGGAATGTGCGTCCCATGTGAGAATGGAGTGAAGGAAAATCACAAGTACTGTACGTGCTCACTCCTGCCTGCCTTGCTTCAGTGCTTCAAAGGACGGCTAAAGAGATGCCAAGGAGGGAAGCCAGTGGTTGCTCTCAGCCTGGCAAATTACTGTGCTTGATGGGGTCATCTCCAGTCCAGGATCTGACTTTCAGCTTGACAGGGCCCCAGGTTTTAGTTTTTGTCCATCTAGTGTTGAAAAGACTTTCAGGGATGAATTCCATTTTAATTAAACTCTCAAGAATGTCAAGGAGGCACAGTAACGAGGTGACATCCCTAAGGTCATATATGGATAAAGGAAGCTGGGATTTTGATACCAAATCTAAGCAAATTTAGTGGCAGATACACCACTTAGCTAGACAGTCAGGTAGGTGGCAGGATAAGGAACCACCCTCTTTGCTAAGACTAAGTTATTAGGTCAGAGAGATGCTTAGCATATGCGGATTTCACACAGGGATTCATCCTATGAGCCATCTCTGATTTGTTGCCCATGGCTGCTTAGAGTCCCTGTGTTTGGGAGCAGTGAGGCTCATCAGGAAAGAGAGCTGTAATCACAGAGATTTTCCTGTTTTACTCACAGGGGAGGGAAATAGCAACCCAGGATTTTCCATCCTTCAACTACAACAATGTTTGATGTTTCAAAGACATTTCTATTAGGCTGGGGTTAATACAGTAGATTGCTTTTCCTAACTATAAGAATAACTCCCTTAAAAAATCATGCCATTATTTAGTATGAAAACATCTTTAGTGCTGGACAAATGCCCTGCCTTTCAGCAGATTCCATTTAAGGCCCAGTCCTTCTGTCACTCAGTATTCTTTAGCAAGTTCTGAACTGTTTGGGTTCTCCCTTTCTTTAGATTTAATTCCTCCAAATAGTCTTTGGGTTCTAATCAGAACTGGTTATTTATTAAATTTCTTTGGTTATAACTTACATAGATTTTAGAAGGTCATTTAAGTGTGTTTTGAAAAACAGATGGCTTTTTCAAATTCTAGAAGTTGAAATGTGTGTAGGGTACCTTCTGAATAGCTGGCTTGTCAAATAACTCATTGAGTTAGATACTGCTCTCTGGCCCCTTCTTAGCTCAGAAGGCAGTAATTGTTTATTGAGCACCTTCTGCATACCTTCTTTATCAAAGATCTGTGTACTTAAGTCCCTGATATGGCAAGCTTCTTGGGGATAAGGCTTGAATACTTAGCTTGGATTCTCTGAACCAGTGATTTCAATGGGTAAATGATAACTTGTTTAACTGTATTATAATATTATAGTAGAGAAAATTGTTTTAGGAGTACCAATTATAAAAAGTACAACTTTTGGCAGAAGGGATGTGTAAAGGTAATCCATCTGGATAGCATGGTATATGGGTCACAATCTCCAAGTAGGGATGTGTGTGAATTGATGGAGAGAAAGAAAGTAAGGGAATATTAGGTGACACGCAAAGGTTGTAATCCAAACAGATAATATGGGCAATGGACCGACAGTAAGTGTTAATGGACTAATTTTCCCTCCATGTTTGAGGAGTAAGATGGGAACATGAACAGAGGGACTCCCACTTTATGTGCCTCTGAACAGGTCGCTTACCATCTCAACCTTATGTCTTCATGTGTTTATAGGAATAGTCTTCATAGGGTTAAGCACTTGATGCATAGTAGGTGCTCAGATCTCAGTGGAGTATGAATTGGCACGCTCTCTGCTACTGTTTTTTCTCGTATGAGGCTAACATTTAAGCTACCTTCAGATCTTTGATGAGTCAACACACATACTCAGAGCAGACTCTTCTTGCCTTTTGTTTTATTATTCCTTCCTTTTACTCTCTTCTTCATCCACCAATTAGGTTTCTATCTTTTTAAGAAGGCATGCCAATAATCGTCAGGTGGTTATAACCCCTCTGTACAAGGGACATTATCTCTGATGTTAGAAACGCAGTGAGTGTGGTAGAATGCCATGGCTGTTCATAAAGAAAAGTAGTAATAAAGAAAAGCTCCCAAAGCAGCGTGCTTTTCATTTACCTTCATTCCACAGCATGCTCTAAGATAGGGTCTGTAATTGCTTCCACTGATAGATAGGAGAATGCAGGTGTAGAGAGGAAATTTGTCTGGGGAGTGGCATACAGCTGTCAATGGTAGAATCAGGATTTTAATTTTTTAAATCTGGAGAGTGAGTTCTATTTTTTTTTTCAGATACAATTTGACTTTGTTGCCCTTGGTGGAGTGCTGTGGCATCACAGCTCACAGCAACCTCAAACTCTTGGGCTTAGGCAATTCTCTTGTGTCAACTTCCTAAGTAACTGGAGGTTACTGGGACTACAGGTGCCTGCCACAATGCCACAGCTATTTTTTTGTTTGTTTTTAGAGATGAGGTCTCACTCTGGCTCAGGCTGGTCTTGAACCTGTGATCTCAGGCAATCCACCCACTTTGGCCTCCCAGAGTGCAAGGATTACAGGCATGAGCCACCATACCTGTCCTGGAGAATGAGTTCTTAGTCTGTCCAAAAGACAGTCTCAGCTAAGAAAATTCTGTTTTGCTATAGAGTTTTGCTTTGTTTTGCTATGGAGGCCAGCAGTTATTTGAATAAGCCTAATAATTTTAAATTTTATACAATTTTATGGATTTTTCTTTCTTTTGCTCTCTTTAGTCAATCCTTAAAAGTCTTTCTAATATAACAATTGGAAATTGTAGTTGGCTAGGTTACAGTGTTATAATTTTGCACGCTTTTGGCCTAAGCTTTATAAATTAGACGGAAATTGTTTCCTTTTTGTGAATTGATTTGGAAATTAAGTGGAGAGAGGACCTGATTGATAAGTGTCTTTCAACTTTCCTTGAGGGCAGAGTGGAGTGGGGAGTATTAATTGGGGTGTCAGAGGCCACTTTTGTACTTTAGAACTCTGTTGCTGGCAGAGCAGCTCCTTGCCTGGGGCCTGGGGCAGATGTGTTCTGAGATACCTGTGGAAGAGACTGGGATCTTGGAGAAGTGATGTTCTGTGTTTGTGTTTGGGCTTAACCTGATGGGCTTGAGAAGCTGGCATGGTATAAGAGAAATAGCTATTTCTTGGGAGATGCACTGATGTTCTAGAAAAAAGTTGGGATTTGGGGGGGCCTCACTAAAGGTGGGCTGTGGAGAGGGAGGAGGAAGCTATCCTTTTTCTACTTTGTGGCCTTCTGGGTGGTGAACCCCAGATAGCCTATCTTAAGTTTTATAGCCACCCTTGGTGTTGTGCCTGTTTTAAAGATGGATGATGAAATGGATGACCCAAAATGTTAAGGTCTCTTGTCCAAGATGATCATAGACAGGAAGTGGCAGAACTGTAATTCAGGTGTGCATCTGTCTGGCTACAAAGCACCACTTGTTTTCACTTTTACTGGAGAATAAACCTACAGAAGAAAATGGTTTTCTTGTGTAGATTCCCTTTGGCATTACATGGCTGCTTCTCCAGCCTTCAACTTTGCCTAGCTGTGTCTTGCTACCGTTTCAAGAGAGGTTAATGCATTCTCAGACTTGTCTGGTGGCAGCACATGGAGTTCTTTGTAGCACATCACGCTGTTCAGGGAATGTCACTGTATTAGTTTGCTGGGGCTGCCATAAAAAAGTACTGCGAACGGGGTGGCTAAACAGAAATTCATTTTCTCACAGTTTTGCAGGCCAGAAGTTCAAGATCAAGGTGTCAGAAAGGCTGGTTTCTTCTGAAGTCTCTCTCCTACGCTTGGCCGGCCACCTTCTCCTGGAGCCCTCACATGGCCTTTTTTTGGTGTGCTTGCATTCCTGGGATCTCTTTGGCATCCAAATTTTCTCTTCTTCTAAGGACACTAGTCAGATTGGATTAAGGCCTACCCTAACAGCTTCATTTTAACTAAATCATCCCTTTAAAGACCCTCTCTGCAAATATAGTCATATTCTAAGGTATTGGGAATTAGAACTTGAACATCTGAATTTTGGAGGGACATTTCAGCCTATGAAAACCATAAAATACTATAAGCATGGAATAATTGCTCTAGTCTAAGGTTAATTACTACTTGTACACAATGTAAAATCATATGCCCATAATATAAAAGGTGAACTCTGAGATGAACAATGATTAATTGCTTATAAGATTTTATGTTGATCATATCTTTGGTTTACTTACAAATAATAATAGGTACCAAAGCATCTTTTAATTTAATATATTATTTGGTAAAGAAAAAAGTTGCAATTTGGGGAATTTATACAGACTGAGTGATCTTTGGTATGTCTGAAGAACCAAGAGGAGGATGGAGGTTTTATAAAGGGAAAAATGTTTATGTATTGCTTTGTGTTCATTAGTTATTCCCTTTATCATAGAAAAACTATAGGTAATGGAAAGGCCCATCATATCGCACAGTCATTGAAAATTACTTTTTAAAACATTTCAGAATATTAAGGGTACGCGTTTTGTTTATATACTTGTTTTTCTACAGATTGAGCCAGTGTTACAATTGTGCCCTCTACCCAGAGAGTGTGCACTGTGCCTGATAGGTGTGAATTTACCCATCCCCTCCTTTTCCCTTTCCTCAGCTTGATTTTCATTGAGATTTACTTTCATATATACACTTAAGTGTTGATCGATTAGTTCCAGTTTGGTATTGAGTACACGTATTCACTTCTCCATTCTTGTAAAGTTTCATTTAGAAGAATGGTGTCTGCTCCATCCAGGTTGTCATAAAAGATGGTACCAAAGGTTTATGTGAAACACTATGGAAATAAACCTTTACCTCAAATGAGAAAATATGGCAGGTATGAGTCCAGAGTTCATGAACTTGTGCACCCCATCAGCAAGAAGATACTGTGTAACAGGATGCAATCTGAATAAAACCAAGTCCTATTATCCTTTGTGACTTGTCACTAGAAACCCAGGAGATTAGGCCCCTATTTATAGACTGTTCTCTAAGTGCCAATGATGTGTTCCTACTGGGCTCTTTGGATTGTTGTGCAGGGGCGTGATGTTGTCAGATCAGGCCTTACGCCCTGACCTTCATGTATCTGCTTTAGGTTGTCTTTATCAGTTATTTTCTTCTTTATTTGAAAAAAATTTTAACTGCTGGCTAACAAACCCTTCTGAGCCTAGCATTAACTCAGGTTTTTGCCTTGATATATTAATAAATCTGTCTTTTTGCCCCTTCAAGGGTGCTTATGAACAATTATAATTATTGCTTTTTATCATTTTGCTATTTTCCCCTTAAATTAATCAATTTAGGCATTCTTAGTTTTTGAAATTGGAATCCTCTACGCAGCATTTTCATGGCTTATTTTCTAACTAGAAAAAGAGCCCTTGGGATGCTCTCTAGAGCATTGAGTTGAAAAGATCACTTGCAGTTTTTGAACTATAAGGTTAATGGGAAATAATTTTGGAAATGCATAGAAGGGCATTAAAAAATGTTTAAATCACACTTTGGGATTTTTTTTTTTACATTCCTGTGTACATTTAAAGCAAATGAGAGTTGATTCTCCAGTTCTTAAATTCTCTCAAATCCACAGATCTTCATAATCATAACACTTTCCCTATGTGTCTTAATAGGTAAGTACCCAGGAGGGCAGATCATTTTCTTTAGTTATGATTTTACCAAGTTCTTTCCAGCTTGTCCTGCCTCTTTCTGCAAGCTTATGTCTGGATGCATTTTTGAGCCTATTTTACCCAGAATGCCTAATTAGTTAAGAACATAATTGTTCTATTTTATACCCTATGTTTAGGTATTTACCTGTTACCTCATTTAATCTTGACAGCAGCCCTATGGGCTAGGAACTGCTATCCTTATTTTACAAGGAGGGATCTGAGCCTGCAGGGATTAAGTAACCTTGACATTCTTGATGCTGTAGCCTGTACTCTTGCCCAGCTTGCTTCACAGCCTTTTCAAGGAGTAATTTTTTAGGACACACAGCATGCGAGGAGGTTTAGAAAGGGTAAACATTGCTCTTTCCTTATTTATTTGGGGGATTATCAGTAACTAATATAAATGTATACCTGGTTCTTGGAATACTGCTACATCAGTGATTCACTGGGGTATCTCTCTTTTTTTAAATTCCGGATTAATGAGGATACATACGATTAGGTTACCTTGTTTGTGTTTGTAAAGTTAAAGTCCTAGTTGTACTAGTGACCTTCACCCAAGAAGTGTGCCATGTATCCGTGCATTGTACCTGTTGGGTGGGAACTTACCAAACTCCACCCCTCCCTCCTCTCATCTTGGATTTATTGAATTTTTCTCTCATGTGGACCTGTAGTTATTCATCCACTAGTTTCAATTTACTACTGAGTACATGTGATGCTTATTTTTTATTCTTGTGATACTTTGCTTAGGAGAATGTCCTCCACATACAAAACATACAAAATCTCCATCTTTTCATGGATAAACAGCCTTCCATGGCATACACGTACCACAGTTTATTAATCTATGCATGAGTTGAAGAGTATTTGGGCTGTTTCTACATCTTTGTGACTATGAATTGAGCACAAATGTCCCTATGGTAAAATGATTTTTTTTCTTTGGGGTAGATACCTAGTAATGGGGTTGCAGGATCAAATGGAAGGTCTATTTTTAGTTCTATGAGGAGTCTTCATACTTCTTTCCATAGAGGCTGTGCTAGTTTGCAGTCCCACCAATAGTGCGTGAGTGTTCCCTTCTCTCCGCATCCACATTGGTGTCTGTTGCTTTGGAACCTTGGGATGTGGGCTGGGTGATACTCAAAGCAGTTTTGATTTTCATTTCTCTGAGAATCTCTGAGCATTTTTTCATGTGTTTCTTGGCTATCTGTCAGTTGTTTTATCCTCACCTCCAGACATATTTCAAAATCCACAGGTCCTGTCTTCTGCGGCAATCACAAATGCTTTGGAGGCTGGTGACAGCGGAGCTGGTGGGAGAGCCCAAAGAGGGCTTGTTGTCTTCTTGCTCCACAGCCACTGAACCAGCACAAACACCATCCCAGATGAGCCCCCATGATTGTTATTCAAACTGCAAGCAGGTTTCAGAGCAGGTTCAGTTACACCCTTCACAAAGATCCAGTTATTGAAACAACAAAGATTCTTAAGGAAGAAAGTAATTTTTTAATGTGAAAGACATCTCGTCTGAGAATGAGAGAAGCTACCTCTAGTCTGTCTCTTCTGGGGTATCTCTTTAGTTCACATACTTCCAGGGATTAATGTTTAAATTCACTTCCGTGTAATCATTTTTTCTACATTGTATCTGAGGGATAGTTTAAATTGATATTTCTTGTTTTTGAACAGTGGGCCACGATACGAATTGAAAAAGGAGCGCCAAAGGAGTCGGTTCTTAAAAACTCAGCTTCTGTTGGTAAGTCTTCCTTTCCATAATGGTTGTTAAAATACTCAGATTGAGCTTACCCAGTTGGAACTTGAAATACGCGGAGAGCAGTGTGTTCTAGAGGCCTTGGATCTCTCATAATTCTGTCCTTCATGCAAAATAGAAGCTGCTTGAGTTTTGATTGACTTTTTATTGTATAGGTGTGATGTGTATTAGTTCATCTGTATGTTCTTGCAGGTATTACTTGCTTGTCTAAGGGTCTATTTTAAAGGTGGCTGCCCATAGTTTTTAAAGACTAGTCAATGCAAAAACAAACAAACAAAAAAGCTAATTAGAGTATCTGGGAGTTAAAAGCTATTACTGAAGTTTCATAACACCTCATTTTAACTTCTAACTTGTGGTTCTCAAAAAGCATGTTCCTCGAAGTGCTCTTTCTTGCTGGAGACCAATTGCTAATACATGAAATAAAAATAATTTTCCAGTGAAATAGCTTGGGAATCATCACATACTATATTTTCCTTTTGGGGAGAGCACTACTGCATAGTATTAAAGGTTTGGAAGAATCCTACAGTAAAGAAACATTCTTGATTTTACTTAATTTAGTGTTTCTTGAACTTGTTTGACCATGATAGCTTTTTTCCCTCATGACACCTGTTCCCTTCCAGTAGAAGTGAGCTAACAAATGAATTAACCTAACCCATCTCTGCCTCAATTTGTGTGCTTTGCCTTTGTTTGAATAAAGCCTTTCACTTGGGGAAGAATTTTGAGACTTAAGTCACTGGGTTTATAAGAGGCTAGACTTCCACAGTGATGATGGCTATGTAGTAAGGAACAAATAAATCTCTAAATTTAATTAAAAGGCTAAGCCTCTTTGTGTTTTTCAGAAATAGACACCATTTTGTGCTCATCTGATTTAGAATTGAAAATGGTCAAGCCATCAGATATTTCACTAGAAAGAATTTATGTTCTGGAGTCTTGTCTAAAAGGAATAGTAGAAATTGTATGCTACAGTGAGTTTTGGAAGAAAGGTATTTGACTGAAAACATCTGAGCATTTTGTAAAATTGGTTATTATCCTCAAATAATTGAAACAACTAGTAGAGCTTCATAGTATATATACTTAAACACCAAAGTGCTCTTGCCAGTAGCATTACCAAGGTTGGATATTTCAAGTTCTTCATTGCCAGAAAATATAGAAATCTAATTTTTTAATTTTTCTGAGTACTTTTAAAAATGTGTGTCTTTATGATTTAAAGTGAGAACAAATGTTTTGCTGGTTTCTGTTGTGCTTGGTGAGATTTTGTGCTGTCAGATGGCACCTGTGGCTCAAAGAGTAGGGCGCCAGCCCCATATACTGGAGGTGGCGGGTTTAAACCCAGCCCCGACTAAAAGGCTGCAAAATAAAAAAGATTTTGTGCTGTCATTCATTGATCTTGAGTGAAATTCTGTGGGCCTTATGGATTAGAATGGTTGTGGTCTTGGGCCATGAATTTATTTATTTATTTTTGAAAGTGAGTCTCACTCTGTTGCCCTAGTCTAGAGTGCCAGGGACATCATAGCTCATAGCAACCTCAATTCTTGGGCTCAAGACATTCTCTTGCCTCAGCCTCCTACGTACCTGGGACTATAGGTGCCCTCCACAATGCCTGGCTAGTTCTCTTTTTAGTAGAGGCAGAGTCTTGCTCTTGTTCAGGAGTCTTGAGCTCCTTAGCTTAAGAAATCCACATGACTTGCTTTGGAGCCCCAGAGTGCTAGGATTATAGGCATGAGCTCCTGCTCCTGGCCATGGGCCATGAATTTAAAAGGGCACAAGGTATTTTAATTTGGTTTAAAGAAATTGGGTTTAGGTGGATTTTTTTAAGCCTATGTGGAATTTAGAACTTAATGAATATTTTCACCTGTGGGATTATTATTATTTGTCATACATTTGGCTTTTCTGTTTTTTATCTCTGTCTTTTCCATGGTAAAGTGAGTAAACAGGGAAAGTGAACGTGAGGGGAAAATATAAATCATGATAGTTTAGACTGGAGTAAGGCCAGTGCCTGCAAAATTTGTCATATTTCATTCAGAGTGACTGCCCTTGTAGTGTGTGTGAAACTAGGAATTGATTCTCACAGTTACTGCACATCTGTGACATGTAGGTTGACATGGGATCCAAAGATGATTAAGAAAACCATGGTCCTTATGGGGAGACAGGCATCTGGCAGGCCACTGTGATAAATGCTGAAACAGGTGCGTAAACAAAGGGCAGTGTGAGATCTAATTTAGGCTCTGGTATGCACCGCTATCGTCTCTGTAGTCCACAGCTGTACACAGTATGTACTCCGCTCCCATCCTGACTCCATGCCTGAGTAGCCAGGACTTGCGGGGTGTGTGCCCTGTTGATGGATGCTGTGTTGGTGTTTGGAGTCATCAGAGAAATGGTGTCACAATCCTGACAGAGGGTGATGAAACTGCGCACTGGTACATGTGGCTGGTGCAATCTCCAGTCTTCTGAGCATCATGTCTGGGTACCACTGCCAGTGGCAGCCCAAGTCAGCGTGCAGCCAGTCAGAGTGTACGTGAGGGTCGCAGACAGGCGGAGGGCCCCAGGAGCACGGGCACGATTGTGAGTTATTTCTGAATGACGTGGTTCTGATAATAGATTTGGGGTTGCTGAGAGGGAGAGATGAGCTAAATAGAGAAAATAGTTATGTTTATATTCTGCACCAAAAAACTTCCTTCTACTACTCTTTTACTCACTGAAACACATTCTTTGAATTGCACTTCAGGCCTCTCTCTTTTTTTTTGAGACAGAGTCTCACTATGTTGCCCTCGCTAGAATGCTATGGCATCACAGCTGACAGCAACCTCAACTTTTGGGCTTAAGTGATTCTCTTGCCTCAGGCTCCCGAGTAGCTGGGACTACAGGTGCCCGCCACAATGCCTGGCTATTTTTTGGTTGCAGATGTCATTGTTGTTTAGCAGGCCTGGGCTGGGTTCAAACCCTCCAGCCTTGGTATATGTGGCCTGCATCCTAATCACTGAGCTACGGCCCCAGAGCCATCTAATGTGCTTTTTTTGAATAAGCCGACTGAGAGCTGAGCCTAGGGGACTAGGCTATGGTTAAATGATTCTCTTCTGTCTTAAGCCAGAGTCTACCATTCTACTCTGCTCTTTTATTTAAAAGCTGTTTAATTTATTGAGCTTCAGGTATGATCATGAATAAGAGCTTGTTAAGAAGTCCTAACATTGCACCTTCCTCTTCCAGGCTTACGGGCTTTTCCTCATGATAATACAAACATGAAGATAAATATTTTCTTCCCCTTTAAGTAACTGTGTTATGCTGGCCATTAAACTTCAGGGGAGAATACAGAGTTACCTTTCTATCCTAGTTTGGTTCCCCAAAAGGAGATGAGCCAGAGCTGTGAGTAAGAAGGCTAAGAGGAAAGAGAAGGGCAGGGGCTGGGTTGCTTCTTTTCATGGCTGAGCTTTTACTGCCCCAGCCATAGGACAAATGCATCTCCTTGACTTTGGGACTTGGTGTGACTGAGATCTCAGCAACTTTTATTTTAGTTTCTTATAAATGGTACAAAGGATCACCTGCCTTGGAAAAACTGCCAGCCTAATTCTTTAAGTACCTGGCTGATTTCCAGGATTTATTATGTTAGGTTCTTTTTTTGTTTTTTGAGATAGAGTCTCACTCTGTCACCCTGGGTAGAGTGCTCTGGAGTTACAGCTCACAGCAACCTCAAACTCTTGTGCAAGTTCCTCTTGCCTCAGCCTCCCAAGTAGCTGGGACTACAGGTGCCTGGCACAATGGGCTGGCTGATTTTTCTATGTTTAGTAGAGGTGGGGTCTCACTCTTGCTAAGGCTAGTCTTGAACTCCTGAGGTCAAGCTATCCACCTGCCTTGGCCTTCCAGAGTACTAGGATTATAGGCTTGAGCCACTGTGCCTGGCTTATGCTAGGTTTTTTTTTATGTTAGGTTCGAATCAGTTAATAGTTTTGATTGTAAATAATTATGTAATCTTAGTGAGTCAAGATGAATTCCACTCTGATTGTATTTTGATGGTAGGACATTTGGAGTGATGACCAACCTGCATTTACCTGAGAGTGAGTCATACACATGACAAACCCAGAGAGGCTGTGGCTCATCTTTGTGGCGTTCCCTCAGAGTGTGTTGCTGGTCTGACTCAGCACTGTTGGCCACAGAGTGTGCAGGATCCACAGCCCTCCAAGCCCTCCACACTGCTCTGCCCCACAGGTACCCACACTCAAGGTTGTGGTCACACGGCCTGCTGTGAATTTAGCCCCTTTGCCACATTTCTCTTCTACCTTGTATCTCATGTCCCTCCAGCCCCTTCACCCATCCAAACACTCGAAAAGGACAGAATGCTAAGGAGAAACCTCTGTGGTTGTACCTATTCAGGAAGAACTCAGATTGCCTGATTTTTCTTTTAATTTTACTCTTGAAATTTTTTTTGCAAGGCATTTGACTAACCATGTTAATATCCCATATACATTGGTTATGTCAACATTAATAAAATCTTCAACATTCACAGAAAAGTGGGGGATTGTCTTTTGGGACTGAAATTTGGGGAGTATCACTTTTCCATATTTATTTTGTCTTGAGCAGGCTGTTTTTGATAGTCTGTTTAAATCAGCTAAGTTGATTTAGTACTGTTACCTTGATATAAACTCTGAATACAAATCAGTACTTGCTGCCCTCAAAGATTCAGAGTATAATGGGCTGGGTGTGCTGGCTCATGCCTAGAATCCTAGCACTCTGGGAGGCTGAGCTCATGAGTTTGAGACCAGCCTGAGCCAGAGGGAGACCTCATCTCTAAAAAAATAGCCAGGTATTATGTCAGGTGCTTGTAGTCCCAGCTACTTGGGAGGCTGAGGCAAGAGAATTGCTTAAGGCCAAGAGTTTGAGGTTGCTGTGAGCTGTGATGCCATGGCACTCTACCAAGGGCAACAAAGTAAAACTCTGTCTCAAAAAAAAAAAAAAAAGAAAAAGAAAAAAAATACACTTAATGAGGTTATCTT